CCAAAGGATTCGGGCTCCCCGGCTTTGGCCCCCCCCCCCCCCCCCCCCCCCAGTGACTCGCAGCCTTGAAGAGCCACCAAGGCGAGAAGTTCTTCCGTCGTGTCTTTACGTACGTACTTCGAAGCATGTTCTTGTTCATATTGTTCAAATGGACAGACACAAGTCGGTTTCAGTCGTCACTTGTGGCCTGTGACTGTCTGCCGTGTATCCGTGAGAGTCTTACTGGCCCAGCGCAGTCGTTTTCACCATCCCGCCGCCGCGCAAGCACAAGACGTTCCACCGCAGGGCTCCGAGGGTGTTTCTATCTCACCGCATGCTCTCGCCTCGCTGCACGACGGGCAAAGCCCCCCCGACCTGTTGGAGCGGTCAATGGTCTAGCCGCAAAGGCACGCAAAACACGAGTAACCCCCGCCCCCCGGACCACCCTCTAGCTGTTGAAGCGGTCAATGGTTTAACCGCTAGGGCACGCAAAACACGAGTACCCCCCCCCAAAGCTCGACGATCATAATCCACCCTCGCCACACCACACATCACCACACCTCGCCACGCACATCACCCACCACGCCACACCTCCCGCAGGGTCCGCGAGCTGGAAGACTCGGGTATGTTCGAGCTCGCCGCCGAGGACGCGGACGGGGGCATCAACGCCGCCAGGCTGGCGGCCGCCTCGCCGAGAGCGGGAGCGCAGCGCTGCGGGTCCTACGACGGGCGATCGGAGCACTCGAGCACGCTCGCCGCGGCCTCCTCCACCACCGCTGGTGGCGGTACCTCGGCCCGAGATCGGACCTTCTCGAGCAGCAACCCGGTGCTCGTCTGAGCGTCTTGTCGGACGCGGTTCGCGGTTTGCCTGGAGGCATAGGCCACCCGGCTGGAGCAAGGGGCGCACTGTGAATCGTCGGGGTTTGTTTCGTGTGTTTCAAGACGGAGGCGTTTTGCGGACGCGGCAGTGGGGTAGCGGCGCCTCTCCCGAGGACGCCCGCTCCACCGTTCAAATGAAAATGCTGTTGTTTTTGGTCGTCGATGGCGGTCCGTGTTTGGGTTGTCTTGTCAGTGATCAACCGTTATTTCCCCGAGGTCTTCTGTTATGCTGGTGACGGGACTCCAGGCCACTCGTTCGTGTGCTTCTTCGATGTGAATCACAGGGCAGCCGTCAAGCCTCTTTTTATCAGTTCTTGCAGTTCCTTGTCGAGGTTTTGAGGGCGGGAAGGCGCTTTTTTGTTTGTGGGAGTCACGGCTCAGCGAGAGAGCTCTTCTTTGTAATCTATAGCTACGCTTCTTTGAAGCTTTTTGTTTAGGGGGTGGCAGCAGGAGAGCATGTGTGTGTCTGTTGGCGTATTATGTTGGCGTTGGTGCTGTGGTGGGGAGGTGCATGTGGCGCGCTCGCGGGAGGGTGTGCTTCTCAATCAAGGAAGTTGTGATGCATTGCACGTTTCGTGCGATCCGCTTATATTATTTGTAGTTCTCGCCTGGTCCCGCGGGCGTATTTAGTATGTGCACGTTGTTTACGGGAGTGCCCGCGTACTTGCCTGCAAGCTACCTTCTATTCCGATAGCTTGTTTGTGTCTGTCTTCCGCATATGTGTTGTAATTTTTGTAGCGAGCTGGGTTGGTTTGCGGCGAGCAGCGTGTGATGAGAGACGGGGGAGCTGGGACGACAGTATGTCCTGCCAGATCTTGTACTACGGTACAGCAGTTGTTGCCAACCCGTCCACTCATTTTTGGAAGGTACACGTTTCAGTGGCGGACAAGCTGCTGGTGTAGCGCAGTACCTGTTTTGTCTGAGTCGGAAATTGAGAGTTTTGCCTGTTGACGTGAGATGTGTTGTTGTTTTGGTGTTGGGGAAGGGGGAGAGATATGGACTGGAACAAAAACTGGAGCAGAGCTCACGATATATCCGGTCAGGCGGTCGAGGATCATTTGTCACAGATGGAAAGGGGCAGGGGAGGGGGGATTTTGTGGGTTCTGCTATCCGGTGGATAGCAGTACTGGGGGGGATTGCCACGCGTGGAGGGGTCCACACCGGATCGACTACATGTGGGTGTTGGAATCGGGTGCGTGGAGACATACTAGTCTATGCATAATAATAAGTTGGATGAGATGGGGCGCTAAGAATCCTCACCCCGTGCATCATCCTACGTTCTCACTTAAATTGCACAAGTTTTTTTTTTTTTTTGTGAGACAAGGGCAAGACGAAGGTATTGGACTAGTTGCACGGGTACTGGGTTGCGATACAAAAGGCAGAACGACGAATTCGTCACGATCTGCTTCTTCTCGTCGAAGAAAACTCTTGCCGGTGTTCCTGGCCCTGGTTGCCGGGCATGGGTTCGCATCATCGCAAGAAGAGTAGGAGGACCAGACTACGACAGTACCGTAATGACACGAACGAGTGAAAGTGAACTCTCCGGTGTGATGTCTGTTTTCTCTGTGGTTAGTTGTGGCACCATGCCAGAACACAGATGGATTGGTGGAATGACATTCTTTCTTCGAAGGCACCCCTGTTCGGGAAGACCAGCTGCCATCAGTTGGTGGTGCGATGCCTGTTATGGTATTTGTAGCGTTGATGTTTTCTTTTGTTTTTTGTGTCTTTTGTCCTTGTCCCCCTGTTTTCATTCCTCGTCCCCGTCTTTTCCTTCTCTATCGTTCCTTTTGGTTGGGTCTTGCGACTCATCGTGTGAGAGGTGTGGGAGGGTGATTCTTGGTATTTTGGAGCTCCACATCCATCCTCGATCCTTTCATATTGGAATTCGACAATTATTTGTCAAGTTCCTAGGATTCAAGTATCTGGGTATGAGAACCTCCAGGGTGGGCTAGTGTTATGGGATTTGAATGTAGCCAGTGTCAACGGTATTGCGGAGTAATTCCCAGAGGAACGTGCGGGAGATGTAACTCCCGATGGAAGGATAAAACATGGGACAGGACCTTTCTTTGTGGCTCCTTTTAGAGGGAGCATGTCCTCCGCCTCTGTGCTCAGTCTACCATTGAGAGCAAGGCAACAGCAAGCACTGCTCTTCCAAGACATGAGTCTTCATCAGGGTCTTCAGGGATCGCTACGCGTGTAATCCCACAACATAGAGTAATGCCATACTCTTATATTCAGAGCCTTCGGGAGGATTGTATTACGAACACTCCATCCAGGGGTTTTAGCGGTGCACAATACCTCGGGAGTCGGGGAATTTTTCGGACTTCCTCCAGATGATCTGTGCAAAACGTATATCCTCCGGAGTATCTATAAACAAACTTGGACTGTAGAGGAAACAAATTATTTGAAAAATCCTCGTCGTGCGTGACATTTATTTACCTTCCTCTGGAGCATGTAGTATCCGTCCAAACTCCAAGAGAGAGGCATTTGTCTGTCTAGTTCCTCCAGGGCAACACTAATCTTCGATAATAGTGTCGTAAATGGTCGCCCTCTGGAGGATCTAGAGGATTATTTGTACTCTAGAGGAATAAAATCGCATAGAGGATTTTGAGGGGGTAGCCGATTGGCCACTTGTTGTGTAGTCATCTACAGCCAACTAGGTGCGCACGCTCCTGGAAGAGTACAGATATTGTAGGGCCCGCAGTTGAGAAAAAATCTGTTGTAAGAAAAAAAGGCTCAAACTTTTACGGAAAATACAGCTCAATCTCGGGCACAACACAGAAGAAACGTCACAATCAGAAACAAACATGATCGATCGTGCGATACCCAAAGACAAAGAAACAAGGGGTAGAAGCTGGGGGATCGTGTCCAAAGAAACGTCCCACTGCTGCTGCTGCTGCTGCCATGCTCCCACCTTCTACAACCTACGTATGTAAGTAATTTTTCGTAGGGGCGGCAAGGGCGCACATTTTTTTTTTTTTCCGACACCTAATATAACCCCCAAAACTTTTTTTTGGGGCC